ATCCAGCCAGCAAAGGCAAGATGTAATGCCAAATCCAGCCAGCAAAGTCAAGATATAATAATCCAACCAACGAATAAGGCAAGATGTAATGCATAATCCAGCCAGCAAAAGTTAGTTCACCGTTAGATTCGTAATCAGCGACCCCAAAAACCCCCGAGTAACGTGTTTCAAGTAAATCCAATAAATTTAAAAAAAATTAAGTCCGCCATATTGAATCCGCCATTTTGAATTTTTAAAATCTGCCGCCATTTGCCATAAATATTTATGTGCGTGTCAATAATAAATTTACTTTTAATCGTTCTTTTATTATCTTTCTTTTTTTATTTCTTTATCTTTTTATGTAAATTTTTTCTAAATTTTTTTTTCCTGTTTGATATACAATAGCAAATATTTTATTGACAGTGACAAAGCGATACAAGTGTCTGGCATGTCCACAACAAAAAATAGCATGGAAATGGAGAATTACATCTTCCAAAAAGCTAAGACTAAGGTATGTCTAAAATTATCTAGAATGCTAAGAATATATTTCGTCCTTTACAGTTGCATTATATGTTATACTTTCTGGATTTAAGAGTGAAATATGTACATTGCTTTATACAAAGTAAAATATAAAATTAAATGTTGGAGAAAGATATATATAATTAGATGTTGAATTAAAAAAAGATGAATAATGACTACCCATATTTATACAGAGGCTTATACCAGTTTAATAACTACTGTATACTATTTAATCCAAAATTTTTCTTTTTTTGATTATAACAATCTTTTAAATAGAATTTTGATACTCTAAACATCTTTTTCGACATCTCTAACAACTCTAAACATATGTTTTAACATAGAATGTTTCTGAATATTATATATATATATATATATATATATATATATATATATATATATATGTATATATTTAAATTACAACTTTTAATATACAATATATATATATGTGTATATATATATATATATATATATATACTAAAAGTTGTAATTTAAATTTAAATATCAAAAAAGGCTTATATTTAAATAATAATCATTATGATTAAAAGAAGAAACATTTTTGATAAATAATATATAGTAGTTATTAAACTGGACTATAAATTGCTATGTACATACACATAGTTAATAAAAAAAAAATAAGTTAGAAAGAACAAAATCTATTGAGTAGCACAGTAATATATGTATTACATATATTTGTAGTTATTTTATTTAAATTTAAATTATTGAGTCATATATCTTTAGTAATTAATAGTAATTAATCTTCCTAAATCTATGGTCATAAGTCGTGAGTCATAAGAAATTGACCAATCACAATCGAATTTGAGGAGAATAATCGACTGTGATTGGTCAATTTCTTACGGGTCACAACTCACGACTTGCATTGTAGACCCCTCATAAGGTTGATGGTCATCACGTTTCGGAACGCATACGAAGTTAACGAAGTTCCAAAGTTATCCCATCATTCCCCATCTAGAACAATTTAGAATAGTAGGTTAGATTGTTCCGTCAATATTTTATTGTGATTTAATGGTCGTTATATGGTGTGCACTGTGCGTCTCAAACCAAGTCGAACGTGGTATCTGTTGTACGGCATATTTTTGTTGTAAATTTTTTATATCTTTTTTGAGTTTTATTTAATTGTACTTTTAAATAATTTAACCAAAGTCATGGCTACTGACGATTCGTGGAAAACGCAACATTTTCGACAGAACGTAGTCGCGAAAATGTAAGTCAATTTACGTCGGTTATAAAGCGAGAACATTGTCATCAATTAGCATTATTAAAAGTTCAATTATTATTTAAAGAATAATATCCTCTGAAATTGTTACATAAATTTATTTTTTACGTCCCATATATCCCATATATTATTTATGTAATTCCATATATATTTATTTTGTTTCTTGACACGAAATATTTATGTATGTATCAATAATAAATTTACTTTTAATCGTTTTTTTATTATCTTTTTTTTATTTTTTTATCTTTTTGTGTATTTTTTCTAAAAAATTTTTTTTTATCCTGTTTTATAAAATGTGTGCATAGCTAGTACAATCAAAGGAAATAATTCTAATTTTTTATTTGATATACAATAGCAAATATTTTATTGACAGTGACGAAGCGATACAAGTGTCTGGCATGCCCACAACAAAAAATAGCATGGAAATGGAGAATGACGTCTTCCAAAAAGCTAAGACTAAGGTATGTCTAAAATTATCTAGAATGCTAAGAATATATTTCGTTCTTTACAGTTGCATTATGTTATACTTTCTGGATTTAAGAGTGAAATATGTACAATGCTTTATACTTACTGAACTTAAAGTAAAATATCTAATTAGATGTTGGAGAAAGATATGTTATTAGATGTTGGATTGAGGAAAGATGAATGACTACCTATATTTATACAGAGGCTTATAATCCAGTTTAATAATTATGTACACTATTTAATCCAAAATTTTTCTTCTTCTGATTATAACAATCATTTAAATAGGAACCTATTTTGATACTCTAAACATATTTTTATATGTGAATGCAAATCTTTCAGTATTACTAATCTATTTTTTTTCTTCTTGCAGGAAGAATACTTGGGTTTTGTTGCCAGATTAATTCTTCATCTCAGAGAAATGAGTAATCGTTTGATATATATGTCTTATATATTATATTAATTTCTTATTACATTATAATATGAGATTTATAAAAATAATGACAAACTCTTATTACGTTAATATTACATATCAAATTAAATGTAGTTTATAGATCTTGTCAACGAGACACTAATTTATTCTGTTAAATACGAATTAAATAATCGTGAAATAATTGAAAGTGTATTTGTTTGCTGCTTTAAAAAAAACAAGAAACTATTTGTTCTAGTTACTTAATGATTCATTAAATTATTATTATTATTATTATTAACCGTACTCTATTTTTTAAAGATATTTTACCTTATTTATTTGGAAAATTTTGAAGTTTAGTTTTCCTGTCCAATATCCTTTTTTTTTCAAAATTATTTTTATGTTAGATCTCGTATGTTATTTCAGTGACATTCTATTCTTTTCGTAGATTCCAAAAAGGATGCGGCTGGTAATGCACCAGGTACTGCTGGTACCAATCATACCTGGTATGACCATAATCAAGTCATGCCTGATCCAATTGGTGCTCTTCAGACGTTGTCCGAACTTTCGTTGTAAAATTAAAGAAATACGATCTCAAATATGTGAAAGAAAATGTGAATTATTTTTATTATTTTATGGAGAAAAAATGTTACGTATTTGAGATATATACGTTTAATATCTTATCAAAATACATTGAGTTTTTTTTCTTATCAGTTTCGTATTCGCAAATTAGGTACGTGTGTATTATATTACAAACGAACTTGTTTGAACAAGGCATCATGTTTGAATAAGACATTGCTTCCTAATAGTTTTTAAGTGTGCAAATAGAAACTTACACATTGTTTTTAATTGTGCAAGTAGAAACTTGCACATTGCTTCCTCATAGTTTTTAAGTGTGCAAGTAGAAACTTGCACATTGCTTTCTCATAGTTTTTAAGTGTGCAAGTAGAAACTTGCACATTGCTTTTTCATAGTTTTTAAGTGTGCAAGTCGAAACTTGCACATTGCTTTCTCATAGTTTTTAAGTGTGCAAGTAGAAACTTGCACATTGCTTTCTCATAGTTTTTAAGTGTGCAAGTAGAAACTTGCACATTGCTTCCTCATAGTTTTTAAGTGTGCAAGTAGAAACTTGCACATTGCTTTCTCATAGTTTTTAAGTGTGCAAGTCGAAACTTGCACATTACTTCTTTATAGTTTTTAAGTGTGCAAGTAGAACCCTTCGCTCACAAAGCTTCCTCTATGAGGAAGCCAAAAAAATAAATACTAATAATTATACATTAAATAAAATAAAAGCTTTCTCATAGAGGAGCTTTGTGAGCGAAGGGTTCTACTTGCACACTTAAAAACTATGAGGAAGCAATGTGGAGGTTTCTACTTGCACACTTAAAAACCATGAGGAAGCAATGTGCAAGTTTCGACTTGCACACTTTTTCATCACTACATCGAAGTCTTTTATCCTCGAAATATCAATGTAGATTCTCTGTGGATATATCTATTAAGAGATATGTACAGGGAATTTTTATCGACATTTCGAGGATAAAAGACTTCGATTAGTGATGAAAAAGAACGTTGCATCCATGTGGATAGTTTGTGGATAAATCTACGTCCACGTAATTTCTATTAAAGATTATAATTAATCAATGAAAGTATTATTATACTGCGTTTATATGGCAATGTCATAGCTTTTAATGGATAATCAATAGTGAATTATAATTTGATGCTGCAATTATACTTTGTATACTGCAGGTGGAATAAACTTGTATTGAATAAGATTTTGTATGCAATTGCCATGTTGATTGACACATTTTAGCCTTAGTCGGTGCATCAGCAATTTACGTTTCTGCATTATTTCTAAAGTTTCATTAACGAAAGGTTTCCTTATTTTTGTCTAGTGAGGTCCTTGTAAGGATTTGATAAGAATGTTTTAACTTTATAAATATACTTTTTTCATAAATATATTTACGAACACAAAATTTCATAATGAGCCGGCACTGGTTTCTGACATTCACCCGACATTAAGAAATATTATATCATATATCCAATTCAAAATTTTATTACTCTTTTTAAACTGAATTTGTTTCTTAAGATGATTTTTGAAAAATTATATATTTGCGCTGGTTATGACATATGTAGACTATATGTATATAACGTTTACATCAAATTAAGAAGTAGTCTACCATGTAAGGCAGTTGGCTCACGATCCAGGAGGTCCCGAGTTCAAATCCCACCAAGGTAAGTGTGTTTTTCAAATACGAAAATTATTTATAATCATAGACTGCATCTTAAAAAACAAATTTAGTTAAAAAATAATAAAATTTTGAAATAAATAATTTTTTTATGTCGAATAATTATTCAGTGAAACACGTGGATTTCACGTCAAATCGATGATCTCATCCACGTGGACTACAGTACCGTTCTTGAGTGGATTGTCCACTCGAATGTCCACGTGGATTCCACGATGCTGATCCACGTAGCAATAACGTGGATTTCAAGTACTGTTTTTATCGGGTATAGACTAAAGAAAAGATGCACCGAGCATAAACTGCTATTGTGGGCAAGAGTGGTTCTGGAGGTCGATTGTGTATCTTAAAATGAGGTGAAAATTACAAAAGTAAACAGATTTACTAGATTTCGACAAATAAAATCGTAGATACATTAGTAAATTTCCTCACGTTTATAATTTTTACCTTGTTTCAAGATACACGCAATCGAGTCCCTGATAACGGCCGGAGGACGGGAGTTACGTGTGAATTTGGCTATACTTTGGTTTAGACTCAGAAACATTCGGATGATTTAGTTCTGCGTACTACGGCATGCACCCGATAAAAATGGTAGTGTAGTGTTCTGAAAATAACAAAAGGAAAATTAAAGAAAGGTTTGTTCCTTCTTTGCTTTTTTAGCTTCTAGATCACTGACATATTTTTTTTAGAGCGGAAACATGAACAGTGATAAACTGCCATAAATTAATAGATACTGAAATTAATAAATATTAATTATAATTACTATTATATTAGGTTGTCCACGAAAGGAGGGAAGAGAGAAGAACTTTATAAGGAAAGGAGAGACAAAGAAAGGCAACCTCTATAGAGTAAAAGAGTTTAAAGGGTAAAGATCAAGGGTCTCGACTGCTCGAAGCCTATAAGCGTTAGATGGAACTTGGGTTCCTCGCGAATCAAAGTATGAAGAGAGAAGAATGTTGCTGCTGACCATCGACATCGACGACATTACCGACATCACTTGGTGGTACATCTTTCAGAAGAACGAGATCAACGCAGAGAGGTAGTACATGGCCATTTTGAAGGGCCAGATTTTCAAGTGGCTGCGTTTAAAAAAAATTAAGAGTCCCATGCTATTGCACATGATAACGCCAGACTGAACAAAGCAAAAGGACTTTTTGCGGCAGCAAGGAATTGGGCAATGGTGAAACCCACCGTATTCATCACATAAGTTCATGTGACTACGATTGTTATTGTGGCCTCTGAAAAGAGCTCTGAGAGGCTGAGAGAGATTGAGTTTGAACAGAAGCTTAAAAGAGCTATATTTACAAAGGGATGTCTGATATGGCCTCTACCGCAGTGTCCGGCGACTACCGAAGCGATAGGAAGAGGTCATCAATCATCAAGCACGATGGGGATTACTTGTAAACATATTAAAATTTCATTGTTCTCTTATTTTTAGTTTCCTCTTTATAATAAAAATCGCATCCCCCTGAATTTTGTAAACAACCCAATAATTACTGCCATAGATATTATTAGATATATTAAATATTAAATTATATATCAAATCTTATTTTCTGCTCTAGAGGAAACAGTTATGATTTGTGCCTATATTTAAGTTGAATAAATCCCGGTCTACAATAGGTATTTTAAACTCTAAACCACATAAGAAATTGACCAATCGTAATTGATTATTCTCCTCACCTTTGACTGTAATTGGCCAATTTCTTACAGCTTAAAGCTGTATTGTAGCGTTCCATCTAACCGAAATAATTGACCGGAGCCATTCATATCGACTGGTGCTTGGACTTTTTCCCTTAGACCAACCAATTAGAAGGTTCTGTGTTAAATTGTCCACACATAGGTAATGAGCAGTCTCTGGTTCATGTTCATAGTCTGTTCTTATTTGTCAAAGTAATAATGTCTTAATAAGTAATGCCTTGAGATGCTAATACGGCTCTGTGATTAATTTATAACATCTTAAGATATTGTACTTAAGAGCAGGTTCTTAAATATAAGAACGATGAATACCGCTCTCACTCCTTATTAGGTCATTATCCGACTTCGACTTTATAAGATTAAAACCGAGATTAAAGTTAATCGGCATTGATAGAAATGGACATGAAAGATCTTAAACATGTTCTCGAGATACCATACAGTCTTTATAAAATTGGACTATGAATATTATTTTTATAATTTTTTTTCTCTTTTTTTGCCTCTTTCTGCTTACTTTTTCAAATGTTGCCTTTTTTAGCTGTTTTTTTAACTTGCTTGTATTTTCTTTTGGGGTTTTTCTTTCGCTACTGGCGACTTTATACTGTAAATCCTACTACACGTTGCTCTATTCTCTATTCATATAATGATTATGAAGTCAATAGAAGATTCTAGGCCATGGTCTTAAATGGACATCATAAAAGCGATGCGACTAATCTTGTGCGCTACAACTTAACGCAAAATTTCGATATCTTGTTATGCAAAAATGTATTTAACTTCCATTCTTTTATTTATGTTGAATTTTCTTATATAAGACAAAGAGAATTCGGGCAATAAGTGAAGGATAGAATCAAGAGAAGGAAAGAGTATAAAATGAATTTATAAGCATCTGTGTATTAATTAAAAATTGCAGGTTTTTTATTCATATATGCTTTAAGGAGACATATGAGAAAAGGCGTACAATATATATCACATAAATTTCGTCACTGGTTATTGTACAGCGCTAAAATCGATTATTTTCGCTAGAGGCAATCACAGTTGAACCGCCCTAAACAAATCGGAGTAAACAAATATTACAAAAATGAAAAATAAATAATGTGTACAATTATCACCGTTACACGTTTATTCATTTTAAAATTAGAGAAACATAGGATCGCTATATATATATGACGTCATACCAAATGCCTTTACAGGTCAATGATCAATAACGACAGCCAATGTCGCGTTCTATTGAACGGGACCATTTTTAAGTTATCGATCCGGCAAATTTAAGAATTACGATGCTGAATATAAGTCGTTATCTTCGCACCATACACATATGTTATATGTATGTACAGTACACATACGCCAATAATGCGTGTGCATGTGCATCTTCGCGAAATATCCGTTCCCATTCCGTATGTAAATCTCGAACAAATCAAGATCTAAATACGACATCGATTTTCCAACGCGATCAAATATTCGGATTGTGCTTTCTGTTCCCTTCCAGGATAACAAATTCTACGTTGAATACTGGCGATGGTCTGTTCGTTTTAATTGTATCTCATTATATATAGCTCTTGCATAAATGAGATTAAACAAATTCAAGCTAATTATGCAAAGGAAGTAAAAAAGATGAAAGATCATAAATATACATATAATTAACATATGGAGTAAGGAGCAGTTGGAGAGAACAGGACTTCTTATTGTTAGATGCAGAAGGTATGAAAGAGTACATAGTGGGACCAATAGATATAGTTAAACCACCAAATCGATACGACTGTTTCGAGAATGAGCTCGCTTTCTCTCTTTTCTTGTTGCGCAGGAAAAGGAAACGATCTGGTTTTCACTTTCGTAAAATAATGGCGGCGATTTCGTGACTTTGAAAATTTCGCTCGCCCGTCCGCCGGTAGGTCTGTTTATTTCAAAGGCATCACGGTTGAAGCTTCAAAAACGAAAAAAAGAGTACACGTGGACATTTTTCATTCCGTAACGCACATCGATTCCTATTACTTCCGTGTCGATAGTGAATCGAAAGACAGAAGAAAAGGAAGAAATAGATCTAAACGAAATTCTATTCGTTAAATTGCACGTAAATATAATTTTCAATTTATAAAAATATATATCACACTTGGAACATAATTAAAATCATCAACTTCTTTCTATGTTCGTAAGAAATTATTATTACGAGAAAAATTAATAAATTTAATTAATTAATTAATTAATTAAGCTTACTAAAGACATATGTAAAATATTTTGCAAGTTTTCGATTTATCGTTATTGGAGCTATCACCGCGAGCGTCTTGCCGTCTTCGAAAAGCTATAATTCGCTCCAAGTAAATGGAGCATCGCCTGTACTATGTACATTAGACTGCCGGAGAGGCGGGAAGAGAAGAGGAAAATTGAAGAAATCTACAAAAGGTGCGGGCTGGAAAGAACAATCCGTTCGCGAGTATCCATCAGTATCATGAAGCGAGCCGATATCGCGGGCATCGATCGGACGGAGGTATCGACTCGTCGCGTCGCTCGCGTATATCGGAAGTGAACGTCGCTCAGCCGAATTTCCGTCGCGCGCGCACGCGTGCGAACGCCTTGGTTACGAACAGACGTCGACGGTGGACGTGGGGTCCGTGGGGGACGCGCGCGGAGGCCGCGGAGTAAAAAGGTCAGAGCGTTGAGCGTTGACGGACACTCGCGCGCGTACGTTATGGATTTTATCTCACCGCCGCGAAAGTGGGTCACGACGGCGACGTACGGCGGCGGCGGTGACTTGTGCGCAGTGTGCGCACGCTTCGATTATCGATTGAACCGCTCTACGGGGCTCGCCGGAGCGGCAGGCGCCGCAAGTCCGTCGTCGCCGTCGCCGTCGCGTAACCGTTCCGAGATCCCACATTTAATGCGCGGCGCCTGAACATAACGCGGTGGCGCTCGTTCGCACGATCGCGACCGAGATTTCAAATCGTTCCCCTCGGCGTATCGTGCGCGCGCACGCGCACGCGCACCCGCGACGTGAGCGAGCGAGCGAGCGAGACCGATGCGAATGCGAGATCGAGCGATTCGCGTCGCCACACTCGCCACCACCGCCGCTGCCGCCGCCGCCGCCGCCGCCATTGCGACTGGAAAGATGCGGTGAAGTTTGCCGCGGAAGAGCGAGAGCCGTCAGCGTCAGCCAGTGAGGCAGGCGGGCGGGCAGAGGCAGAGCGCGTGCGAGCGGCAGGCACTAGCCCTCGCGGAAATCGGCCATCTTGCTTTTAGTGCACGCTTGGATCTCGTAACGGACAGTCACTCGCCTCCGTCAGCCACCCTTTTCGGGCGGTCGTGCGTGTGCGGGCGGTGGCAGGCCAGCAGCTCTAGGCGGTGCGCCGCGTACGCAGAGCGAGAAATCACAGCTGTGGAGAAATAGAGAAGGCGATAAGGAGAGTGCGTGCGTGTCGAACGAGCGGTGTAGCGCGGATTACGCGACTCCGGCGGCAGGATGGCGGGCAACACGGGTATGGAACAGTTGATCCCGATCGTGAACAAGCTGCAGGATGCGTTCACGCAGCTCGGCGTGCACATGCAGCTCGATCTGCCGCAGATCGCGGTGGTGGGCGGCCAGAGCGCGGGCAAGAGCTCCGTGCTCGAGAACTTCGTCGGCAAGTGAGTATCGCGGGGGCTGACGTTGTATAATCGCGTCCCCGACTCCTCCTCCTGCTCTCGCAGCCTCGCGGTTAACTCCAACTCCCGAGATAAATGGCATCGTTGTCCATAAGGGATCATTCCTTGTATAGGGAAACCCTCGCACACACGGACGATACGAGCATGTAGATCCTCTCGTCCCCGTCGTTACTCCACTTATGGCACTTGAAGGCGGAGCGGATTCGATCGAACGCGATCGATGAACACCGCCGCTGTCGATCTCCTCCCCACGTCATAGACGCACGTTTGTCGTTTTCCGTTTTCGTGCGCAGAAAGCGTAACGCAGTTATATTTACGAAACTCTCATAGGTCTTCATTTCGATTCCACGCTGACGTTCATCGTCGCTACGCAAGTCCTGCGAGTCCTCTAAGGCGTGGCGGAAACACGCGCGGCTTTTCAATTTCACCGCGATGTCGTCGTCAAAGAAAATCATTTGACAGTCGATTGTCCCCGTGGCACGGTACTTTTTGCGCGCAGCATAAAGCATAGAGCGTGGAGCGAACGAAGCGACCGCACGAACGACGTCAGAACGCCCACAAGGCGACCTGTCAAGTGCCTTCTTCGTGACATCGTCGCGGGAATACTTAGAAATGCCCGTTCATGCGCAAAACCGGCGGGATGACTCTACGTCCTCGTAGCGAACGCCTCTTCGTCATTCACGTCGTCTCTGACGTTTATTAAACGCACAACTGGCGATTATGCAAAATATTGTATTGATTGTGAGTTAAAAATAGCCAAGGAACAATGATTCAGTCTTGAAATTGTTTATGGGATTTTTGTCTAATTTTGTCTTACGTCCCTTCGATATTCGCTATTTAAACAAAGTATTATATTGTTGACGAGTGAAGCGTCTATATATAGAGAAATATTGATTATTGTTTTTAATTCTTGAGATCTTTTATGACGCAGCTGATTTGTCGTACCACGTTGCACAAGATATGTTTGTCACATTACATTGAGGATGCATTAGTATTAGGCTTTGGAAGAAACTAGTACGAATCTATTAATTCGCAATTTTATGTTAAAGATATTAGAGACAAAAATTTCTCAGAGATAGAACATGAATCACAGAGAATATTCAAGATAGATAAAAGGATAATCTGATATTGATATCTTTATCAAAGCATATTTTTATCAAAGAAGAAAGTTATATCATGGAATAAATAATTATCATTAGCATTGAGTTATATACATATCGTAATTTATAGTATTTAAACACAAATTTGTACAATTATTTTGATGAGTAACTAATTTATTATTGTTTGTAAATAGTGTAAAATATATAATAGTAAAAATTTATATATATATAATAGTAATAATTTATATATATGAGGTCGATGTTAATTAAAGTTAATTATAACAAAAATATTTTTTTCCAGAGACTTCTTGCCAAGAGGTTCAGGCATTGTGACAAGGAGACCTCTCATCTTACAGTTGATTAACAGCCCAACTGGTGAGTCATAGTGTACCGAATACATTACCTTATTTTTCTTGTAACACTTGATATACAATAATCAATATAAAGTTATCTTGCATATCTGACAGTAATCTCAAAATCTCTTACTTTTAAAAGCACGTATAAGAAATGGTTTAAAGAGGACACGGAGTTCTCATATACTCGTAATATCATCTTGTTAACCTATTGACCTGTACTTGTGGCAAATATCTTCCTTTTTAAGCAAGGAACACATTAATGTTTGATGCATTTACTCCACTTATATGTCATTCTCTGCTTGACCCTTGTTGAAAAACTTTTTATCATGTGACATTTATTATATTAAATTTGTGCAAAAATAGTTATTGACATTTCGCGTTTTATTATTGTATAATATTAATAAATAGAATGTAATAAGACAAAATTAATAACGTCATTTTGCCTCTTGAACTTTTATCATCATTGAAGTTATCACGTTTCCTGTATCATACTTCCTGAGCCTAAAATTATGATAAGCTGTAAGTTGAATGTATCTCATCAGACAGCATACAGATATGATAAATATTAAAGTAATATAAAATATTACTTTCCATTTTTTTATTTTACTGTTCTCTCTGTTAAATAATAAGAATCGTCTTTGGAAATTAAAGTAACCTTTTTCTTTCTTATGTTATAGAATTTGCGGAATTTTTACATTGCAAAGGTAAAAAATTTGTGGATTTTGAAGAAGTGCGGAAGGAAATTGAAGCAGAAACAGACAGGGTGACTGGAGGTAACAAGGGCATTTCTAACATACCAATTAATCTCAGAGTATATTCACCCAACGGTGAGTACAACAAGAAAGTTGCTTTAAAAAAAAATTATTATCATTTACTAACATACATTTATCTTTATGCAGTTCTAAATTTGACATTAATTGATTTACCTGGACTTACAAAAGTACCGATCGGAGATCAACCAGCAGATATAGAAGCCCAAATTAAAGCCATGATCTTTCAGTTCATCAAACGTGAAAATTGTCTCATATTGGCAGTCACCCCAGCTAATACTGATTTAGCTAATAGCGATGCTCTTAAACTTGCTAAAGAAGTGGATCCACAAGGTATCCATTTATTTGCAATGCTGTTATTAATATTTCTTTGACCTTAATATTTAATGCACAATACTATAAGGTGTACGTACAATTGGCGTTATCACTAAACTGGATCTCATGGACGATGGCACCGATGCAAGAGATATTTTGGAAAATAAATTATTGCCATTGAGAAGGGGTTATATCGGAGTTGTCAATAGAAGTCAAAAGGATATAGAAGGAAGGAAGGATATCAAAAATGCTCTGGCCGCTGAGCGAAAGTTCTTCCTCAGGTATACGAACAACTCTAAAGATTATAGAAATATAATTATTCTTTTTTTGACCATATATAACGTTTGTTTCACTTTGTTAGCCATCCGTCTTATCGTCATCTAGCAGACAGGTTGGGTACGCCATATTTGCAGAGAGTTCTCAATCAACAGTTAACAAATCATATCAGGGATACCTTGCCAGCTCTAAGAGATAGATTACAAAAGCAACAGTTAGCTTTAGAGAAGGATGTCGAGCAGTACAAACATTTCAGACCTGATGATCCTGCAATCAAAACAAAGGCTATGTTACAGTAAGTGAATTCAGAATTTTACAATGTGCCGGGTTACAATATCTCAGTGTTTGTCTTCCATTCATAAAATATGTATTGTAAAAATCACAAATGCATATCTTATAGCAGAATATATCACACACATGTACATACATACACATATATGTAATATCAAAATTCTTTGGATGAATGTATTCTATATTTCATATTTTCATGTTAAGCAATAATCATGCAAATGAAACAATAGTTTTTTCTTATCTTTTCATTTCTAATATTTTTTATTTTGTGGTAGAGGGTCTTGAAGTTTTAGATCATTTGCTTTTTCGTTTTTCAGATCAATTCAAATGTATATGTAGGTATCCTTGTTTCATCTATTAGTTTTATTTAACAGAAATAGTGTGCCATTTGCATGAAATTTTAACTAATTGAAAAACTGCGTTTTTTTTATTATATGTAAATGCTTTTTTAAGATTTGGGAAATAATTTGATGGCATAAAACTATTCTGCTACAAGAAAACTAACAAATAAGAATTGCTAACAATAAATTTTTTTAATACGTGAAGTACTATATGAAATCCTACATATCTTTATATATGACAATATATGACATTTTTATTATACATTTGCAGATTGTGATGCAATAACAGATATTATTTTAAATGTGTTTTGTGAATGGTAGATAACATCAAGACTCTCTATCCATATAACTAATATTTTATAGCAAATTATATTACACAAATTAATAGAAAAACGTTTTTAAGGATGATACAGCAGCTTCAGTCAGATTTCGAGAGGACCATAGAAGGCTCAGGTTCAGCACAAATTAATACTAACGAACTCAGTGGTGGCGCGAAAATCAACAGACTTTTCCATGAGCGTTTCCCGTTCGAAATTGTTAAGATGGAATTTGATGAAAAAGAATTAAGGAAAGAAATTGCTTTTGCCATTAGAAATATACATGGTGAGTTTCTTCTGATATCATCGTTACTTGAAAAATCGTTACGACAAAATTCTATAGAATTAAATTACGAAGTTTTGCAATATCAAGTTACTTACACATTAACAAAATAAAGTATTACATATTGACAAAATTTTAATACGATAGGTATCAGGGTGGGATTATTTACCCCAGACATGGCTTTTGAGGCAATAGTCAAAAAACAAATAAACAGACTTAAAGAACCAAGTCTCAAGTGTGTGGACTTAGTCGTGCAAGAACTTAGTAATGTTGTACGCATTTGTACTGATAGGGTAAGTCAAAGATAATTATAGAATACAAGAATTATTATTCAAGAAATTTAAATAATATATGAGTCGACAATTTTTTTTGCAATTTTTTTTTTAATTATGCAATTCTTATATGCCGGTTTTGTACAAATTGCAGATGTCGCGTTATCCTAGACTGAGAGAAGAGACGGAACGTATTATAACGACATACGTCAGGCAGCGCGAACAAATGTGTAAAGAGCAGCTGATTTTGCTGGTGGATTGCGAACTCGCATACATGAATACGAATCATGAAGATTTCATCGGTTTTGCGAAGTAAGTAATCACTAAACATTTCCACGCTATTTGTTATATGTTACATTAGATTTATCTATTATTTACAGAGATAAACAATAGCCACAGAAACTTTCAGTTTTTTTAAGTTGACACATTTAGTTTCTACATGTCGTTTTTGTTACATTTATGCTTGCTGCTATATTTTCTTATTTTACATATGTCAAATTTGATATAGCCACTAAATAGCAAGAAACGTTACATAATGTTGTTATAGTATTTAGACAAAGATGTATGTTTCAAAAACTGCTTTTTAGTTAAAAAAAATATTAGCAACATGTTCACGTGTATTGCACTATAAAGTTTTATAAAGTTCTTAATATTCTGTATATACTATATTTCTCATTTAACACAATAAAGTACTTACTTTTTAGAATACACATTTATTTCTACAAAAAGTTTAGAAAAAATAGTTTATTTAAAAAACTATCTTTAGCGATTTTATGCTGTAAACATTTTTGTTTACAATTTTAAAATATATTAAAGTAGTTTTAGACTAAAAATAGTAAATCACACATATAGCTTGCTTAATGCTTATTAGAATATAAATAATTATAAAAGAGATATTCTTTCTAAGAACCTATGTAAAAAAATTAAAATTTTAAATATCTTTGGAAGATATAGAGAAAATCGTACTACACGTGATTGATATGTCAGATTATTTGTTTGCTTGCCATTATTCTTTCACTCAAATTATCAGCGCATATACTTTCACAGTCAGTGCATGTCTTGCTAAAATCAGCTCACATGGCAATTTATAATCACGCTAACATTCTCTCAGCTCGTCTTCCCTTCAAGGCCAAAAGCCGCTCTAGAATTTGACAAGCAATAACTTGCGTAGTATTATTTCTACTCGATGTACACTTGTATGACACTATGCTAAAATCATATATAAATATGATTTGAATTCTCTTCCATACTTTGTAATACGTATATTTTAGTTTATTTCTGTTAACTATCTTATTATTAACGTGACTTGATCTTTTATTTATTCTTGTTTATTTTATTTAATAGTTAAGAACGTAATTGTGTATTACAATTTATAAAATTTTTAGAGGTATCTCTAAACATCTAATAAATTGAAGTTACTTAAAATTTAAATAAAATTACTTGATTGTTAAATTATAAAATAAGATTTAGAATGATTATAATAATGATTTAAGAAATAGCTTCTCAAATCAAAGAAATATCTGAGCAAAAAAAAGAAATGTCTTCTCAAATTACTAAGGATATGGAATTGCATTTGCACATATTACATTTTTTGTAGCTCAAATTGATTTTTATTGTTATGGCTATATAGCAGTATTTCCGTATAATTTATTTTATATTTTTAATCTTTGCTTCAAATAAATTATAACATCTCTAAAAATTAATTATAAAAAGATAATTATAAAAATTACATTAGGTACTTACAATATATAGCTAATATTAGATAGATAAATATAAGCGTATAACTGAACAAGTAATAGGCTTATATAAATTTGTTAATGATGTTGCTGATGATTGTGTCATAAATTTTCTTGATTTTATTTGTAATATTATTGGGGACAAGGCATACAGATTTTGTGCAAAAGTATACATCGTTGCAGTTCTTGTTTTTTAGCATATATGATCCTAGTTTATACATCTCTTAATAAGAAGTGCAATTAAATGATAAAATTATGATATATATTCTTTATAATCTAATATGTGTGCCTTTCCTTAATTAAAGTAATATGGCCTTATCTTGATACTTCTTTTTTCTTATTATCAATTTCTTCAAATTTCACAATTAAAGAAATGATTTAATTATATCGGCAGCGCTGCAGCCAGTTACCATAATGCAAGGTAAGAATATTAAAGTACATTTCAACAAAAATTTACACTACATTTTTATCCCTCTCCATTTTCACGCTCTTTCTTTCTGTGGCTTATTTTATTTTTCTTTTGATATCTTATTGCTTCTATTTTAAGTTGAAACACTAATGTACTATGAGCTAAACTAATTTTTAAGCTTGTGTGATATTGTTTTTATCAATATTCTGAAATTTTCTAAACAAGCAAACTATATGTTTATACATATATATATTGATTTTCTCATATTTTTCTAGAATTTAAATTGATTGAATATTAATTCAATCATTAATTTTTAAATGCTACAATTAATTAGCATTTAAAACAAAAAACTAATACAAGTTATAGTATATAACGAAAAATTAGTTTTTAACTGATTTTCTTTAAATACTAAATTCATATTTTTCAGTTAAAATCAGATTCAAGAAAATTAATATGTAATTTAAACTTGGTACTGATTTCAGTATATCAATGAAAATTCTGCATAATATTAAAATTATGAGGTGCAGCACGTTGTTCTTGCAATCTATCTCGTATATTTTCAATTTTTTTACATTAGTCTATTACTATTTTAATTTTTTTTTCTTTGCAGATTATAAGTTTGCTTTATTTCAAATTAAGATAAGGACTTCTCGTTTCTAAGTTATGCCAGAAAATTAGAACTCGTAAATGAAAGTATTTACTAAAGTCATCTGCATTATTCATGAGACTTTTAGACTGTAATTCATACAGCAACATCACACTTACAATCTGTTTTATAATGGATGTAATATGCGCTTATGCAATCAACTTTTTTCATAATCGCTTTTGCACCACAACATTGGAAATTGTTGCAGTGTTGTCTAAATGATAGCTACATTGTACATATGTTTGTGATTCTAGTGTTGTTTATGTGGCTATGCAGCAAATGTGCGCTTAGAAAATCTTGAAGTTATATGAAGCATAAAATGCATGAAACAATATGGCAATATACACACAATAATTCTGATATATATTATGTCAATTCTGAGGTGAAGATTTTCTCAGTGGTTCTTTTCGAAATAGATGTATAAATATACGTTGATTTGTAGGTAAAGGCACAAAGTACTGTCCGTCTTTTAACCTGTATATATTATTATTTTTATTATAAAATAAAAATATTGAATTTATATATTAGTATATGTATAATCAAAAATTTGTAACGTAAGCTATTTTATAATAAGCAAACGTTAATTTAGTTTCTTTTTACGGTATAGTACGTTTGTTTAAAACATGGATGCTAGGATCTTGCTGTTTTTTTTACTTATAACTGACTAATGTATACTTTGATGGCAATAATCCTTACAGTTGAATATATGAAATTTTATATTTTTTATTATACACTATGATTTATGTTACAGTGCACAGCAATCCTCGGAGAATTCCGTTAAGTCTGGACGGCATACATTAGGCAACCAAGTAATTCGTAAAGGCTACATGTGCATACATAATCTCGGTATTATGAAGGGCGGTTCAAGAGATTACTGGTTTGTTTTAACATCGGAGAGTATCTCCTGGTTCAAGGATGAAGAAGTAAATATTGCTCATATTTATTGATAGCTTTTAAATTGGATGTTAAAAATTATAGCATTTTATATTGAAAAAGAATTATTAACATCCGAGAACAATGTCTAATCCGTTATATATTTTTATGTACAAAGGAACGTGAAAAGAAGTACATGTTGCCTTTGGATGGCCTGAAATTGCGTGATCTAGAACAAAGTTTCATGTCGCGTCGTCACCTATTTGCGTTATTCAATCCAGAAGGAAGAAACGTTTATAAAGATTATAAACAGCTGGAGTTGAGTTGTGAAACACAAGATGATGTTGACTCCTGGAAAGCGTCATTCCTGAGGGCTGGTGTATATCCCGAAAAATCAACAGAGCAAGCAAATGGCGAAGAAGTGAGTTCATTATTGGTCAAAATACGATTAAATAATTATGCATGTGCCGTTATAAAAAAAAACAATTTATGTTTTATATCAGTTTATTTATCAAAGATTTAAATCAGTTACACAACAATTTATATATATATATATATATATATATATATATATATATATATATATATATATATATATATATATGTGCGTATGTAGAAAAAAGAATATTATCTCTAATTTGTATTATGAATTAATTTATTATATTTATTAGAATCCATTTTAATTTATTTTAGGATAAGCAGAGGGTGAGTTAATAATAAACAAAAAGAGATCTTGTTTTTAATTTTTTAACTTTGTGGTGATCTGAATTACGTTGTTAAGAGCAACTAACAAAAATAATTTTTGTTAGAATTATTTTAGAAAAATAGAGGTTTGGCTTTATTTTTATGATTAGGATAGACTTAGAATATACATGCAGAATTAATATTAAATTTTGCAAAGTTTTATATTCCAAGATTGTAATATTTTACGCGAGGATGTTATTTTATATCGGTACATCTTTACGTTTTCATTACCTTTTGAATACTATTACATGTACTTGAGATGTCTGTGCAGAGTGCGTGGGTTTTTATATCTATAACCGTTTCTAAACTAATAATTAATCTTTTGTATTGAGTGCATAATACAAACCATTATCTTTTTTGTCTCATATTTGAATCGACTAAAAAGGATGGATATGAGGTTGGTACAATCGTGTTTTCAATTACAAAGCACGACACTTACATAAGCACTGGATACCTTTTCAACCAAACACACTGCTGCAGAAAATTCCAACACTATAAAACATGTTATTCTTTATTCTATATTATCGATTATATTTCTAGATTTGATTACTTACATTCGTCACATTAGTTTAATGTATCGTAATACTGCGAATGTTATCTGATATATAGCTTTTTGGTCATTGAACCGTTTGAAATTGTTTTAGTTGATAATATAGACACGATATATATATCTAGTTTAAACGAGATTGTTCTTGTTTCTTTAGGGTGGAACAGAGGGTCAATCATCGATGGATCCTCAATTGGAGCGTCAGGTGGAAACTATCAGGAACTTAGTAGATTCTTACATGAAGATTGTCACGAAAACTACCCGTGATCTGGTTCCAAAGACAATTATGCACCTTATTATTAACAATGCTAAGGACTTTATTAATGGAGAATTGTTGGCACATCTTTATGCAAGTGGCGATCAGGTAAAAAATTATGTTAATACAATATGTTTTGTATTTATACGACAGTTTATTGCAAAATTAGTTCTTAATTTTATATATCAATCCTTTCCACTGTTTCCTAGTCAACCAACGATGAAATAAATACTCTGACGATATTCAATAATCCTATAATCGTAAGTGTACCTTACCATTCCTTTCCTTCTGTCCTTCTCCTTTTTTTGAGTACTTGGTTCAAGAGAAACATGTTTATCATTTTTTTTAACATAATAAATTTAATTCAACTATTAAATATATTGAAATTTTAAATATAGCGCATTCTTACGTTTACATATCTGGTATTTTCTATCTGTATCTTTATATATCCCTTTTATCTGAGAAAATTTTATGATGTATATGTGCAATTACAGTCTTCAATGATGGAAGAATCTCCCGAAGAGGCGCAGAAACGGGAAGAGATGCTACGTATGTATCACGCATGTAAAGAGGCTCTTCGTATCATTGGAGATGTCTCCATGGCCACGGTTTCAACCCCAGTACCACCACCCGTGAAGAACGACTGGCTGGCATCCGCCGACAATCCAAGGTAACCCTTATGTTATTCCTAAAATGGTCTATCGCGCATTTTACTAATTTTTCATCCTTACATTTTGTACCGTCTGCTTTGCCATACATTTGAACACCGTTGAAACAGTCTTGGGTAAGATTTTTTACATATAATGTATTTATCTTTATTTATTTATTTTTTTTTAACAAATTATATCTCGTCAAGAACAAAAGTCCAATCATTTTATTATATAGAACATCATGTTCACGTTATGCATGCTCTTCCAATAGTACACTTTCCCTGAGTAACGATATTCTTTTTGTATTAAGTTAGTTGTATTAAGCTAGATTAGAATATTGTTAGAATTTAATTATTTATTAATATTTCAATTTAATCGATCAATATTTTATATATTTGATGCCAACTATTTTTTATTATTTATATCTTTGAATATTAAAAAATATGAAAGAATTATTATATGGACACACACTCATTGTCAGAAAACACAAAGATTTTGTGCGATAACCTTTGATGTAGGATTGCTTGCAACTTTCCTTTTGTTCTGAAAGAACATTCTGACGCGCTCAAATGATGCAGAAGTCGATTATAAGCCGATTGTAAACGTATTATACGTTTTAGATTATCACCACCATCTCCTGGTGGTCCAAGACGCGGAGTGACACAGCCACCACCTATTTCTAGCTCACGAGCACCACCACCAGTACCTGGAGGCGGGCGGCCAGCACCAGCCATTCCTAATAGACCTGGTCCAGGTGGACCACCACCGACGCGAGCTAATCCTGGCCTACCTCCACCTATGATACCATCGTGAGTACAATATAACTTATATTAGAGCTTAGAACTATAAAAATTCCATTTATTAATATCGCAGATAAAATCTTAGATCTCAAATCGTATATCGCGATTTTATTGTGCCATCGATCGCAATTCTTACGTCAAGCTAATCTGCGCACATCGAATTTTAAGTCGCACAGTAACATTCCTTGCTGATTGTGTGTTCGAAGTATAATGATGCAGTAACGACGTGAAAGCTGTATACAATCGTGAACGTAACGTTCGCAGCTTTCTCCGAGAACTTTGCCCAACTATATTAAACAGTAGCTTTTGTGATTGGGGCTTTTGGGTGCTAACTTCACTTTCTATTGCAGGCGCCGACAATAAGTCTTCGCACTAACTCGCCTATTCGCTACTAATCAATACCGTATTCGTTGCATTATAGACAAATGTATATTTTACACAAAAACACTTTCTCTCTTCTAATGTTACCGTTACTGTCTGCATACACTATGAGAGATTATGCGATCAATGTTAATTAAGTAGGAGTGTGAAAATAACACGAGAATTATTCTAATTGTATAAGTCCTGCACTCTTTATTGTGTTTCTGGAATCTAATTGAGCTTCCAAGTGTCGAGCAATTTGTCTAGTGTATTTCACCTACGTGACACGACAACGACATATTTTTTAAGCGATTAAGATTTGAGGAAGGAGAAGAATAACTGTGTTATTCTTCTTATTATTTTTATTATTTAATATTTATATTGCATGAACAGTGTAATAATTTTTAGCCTAATTCATATATATGTACATGTACATATATTACATACATATATGTATATATACGTATATGTATATTGTATAATATTATATCTGCCACGAAGATTAACACAGCCCTAATTGTAGTTGTACTTTAACACCACCAGTAGTGAAATCTGCAATACTAAATATTTCCAAAGATACAATATCTTCTTGTTAGTAAATGGATATATATATATATATATAATATGCGTAGTCGAGTCACACATGTTTGATTGTAAATTATCTTGATGAAGCTGTACATCACATATATGTATATACTATTGAAAATATTGTCAAATAAAGGACTTTGCGTTCTTATGACAGATAGATAGCTATTTATTTACTTACTAACAGCATGACATTTCGGCAAAATGCAATTAGATATGAAAAATGACAGTTTTTGGAATCTATTAGTTATCTACCAATCATATTTATCATTGGTACATATTTCGTGTAAAAACTACGATATGCCCTGTTTAATGTAATTTCAAAGCTTTTCAAACGCATAACAACACTTCTACTTTATACGTTTCCTATTATCCAAAAATATTTTATATGAAGTTTAATAATCCGAAACTTGTCAATTACTAATTGTGGACAAATATGTCGGTGCCTGCATTACGATTTATCAAAAGCAACAAAATAGCATATATAATTGTTATGTATTTTATAAACGGAAGCTAAGGCGAGTTTAGTCTAACAGCTTAAGAGCTGCCTTTGAATATCGAACAGATATCGTATCGTTATTACAAAACGTTTTTATAACTACTGTTACAAAGTTATATATACGGTTAATGTGTTACTTTATCTTGGATACGCATTTAAAAAGGTATTATGCACGCTTTCGTACACGAGACACGCATCATAAGTTAACATTGCAGCAACGCTAAACGTATGATGTATGTCCCTGAAACAAATTGCAAGAGTGAGATCAGTAGTCAAAGCTGGGTATCCGTGGTGTGTTTAGTCGAGGGGGTGGTCTACAGCAGAGGATAACGCAAGCTGCGACACAGGCTGCGACGCAGGCCGCCGTGAACGAGCTGATGGACGCGTTCAAGATCAAGTAAATAGATATCCCCAGAGTCTTTCCGAGCTATACCCTAAATAACATAATATGGGTATCCGTTTAAGTTGCGCAAAAAGTAGATGGTAGACTGTTCAGGGTAACTGTTGAGAATGAACTAATTCATGTTTCCTTTTGAATAGATCTTTATAACAAAATTACGCAGAATAATTGCTAATTTGATCCTGTCTCATCTCCTCTGTGTCTTTTTTTCTCTTTTGCATGGTGTTCCTTGAATTTAATTAATGGTTATGTTTTTTTAATTAAATCTGTACACACGTGTGTACGAAACATATTTGTATGCATATTTTTATGTAGGAATAATCCCATAAAAGTATATATCTGTATTATATACATAAGTATAATGAATATAAATATATAAATATGATATATATATATATATATATATATATATATATATATATATATGTATATATATAAAATATTATATCTATATATCTTGTGCAATATTCCATATTACCTTCAATGTCTTAGAAGATCTGATTATAGTATTTTGCAAAATCACTTAGTCCAAAGTCGAGCAATAAAATTTTAAACTTTAACATTTTAAACTTCAGAACTGGAATCAAAGTATGACAGTCAGGAAAAATGTTATGAATTAAAAAATATATATATATACATATATGTGTAAAAAAAAACAAAGTAGATTCTAACGTAGAGATTAGCGCAGTTAATCCGATTTCATTGGTATTTTCACACTGTATAAAAGTGAAAACTCATATGTAGTCTTATTAGCGAATCTGAACGAGATATTATGAATTTCCTTCTAAAATGATGTATTTGTATCCAGTGAATCTATCCTGGAAAGTCTACCAGAACCTGATAATGTGATCGACAGTAGCTTTGCATTGATTATAAAGAACATTCCATCGTTGAAGAGCGAGTTCGATATAAATATTGATGGTATTGTCGCGTCAACTGCATCCGACATGTACTCGAATTGCAGTATATTGAAGAAAATGTCGAACGTGTCGTCAGCAGTAATAAGATAGATGAGAAAATGTCATGCTGTTGGGAAAGCTAAAACTCACGAATGTACATCCAGCTTGTTTTTAAACAAGATTCTTTAATGACAAAAGAATTGTACTACGCGCAATACCGTAAAAATTTCTCTCTATTTCTCTCTACCTCCTATAATGTATTTGTTACTTTTTTCTCTTATAGCCATTTAAAAAAAATATATATATATATGCCATATATATATTATATACATATATATACTACTATATAAGGAAATGAAAAATACTTCATAATATTTACGAGATAAACAAGAAAAAAATGTGCTCAGACATAGGATGTGATATAGCGTAGAATGCTTCAAGGATTTTGCATGAAAATCCGGAGTCACGAAATTCCCCTTCCTCCCTCTCTCTCTCTCTCTCTCTCTCTCTCTCTTTCTACCCCATCCCTTCTTCTCTCTTATCTCTTTTCTCCATTTGTCTTTTCTCTCCCCCCCTCCATCCCTCTCCCTTTCTCTCTCTGAATAGTCTAAACTAACGATATAATCGCACCTATTGAGAGTAATGGTAAATAATATCACGTACAATGTATAATGAGTGAATATCACATTCGGCAAGCGCATCCAGGAGCGACATTGTATTTTGTATTATTTATAGTTATTTCTCTCGAAGAGAGCTCCCTGATCATGCTTGCGGTTCAACTATATATGTATATAAGATGACTTTTTTGTAATTAGGTATTCTTGCCCATTTGCAGAGCAACGACGTGCTTCAAGATTTGTATAGTACGCGTTCTAGCATGAAATATTTATGATATTTAGAAAAAGGATTGTATTAAATGGTAACGACACGAGTTTATGAATTTATTATATAAAATTCATAATACTTGTAAAGTTGTTGTAAAACCGTGCCGGGTTGTACTATACATGGAGCGATTTACGCTCTCATTTCGAAAATGTTTACGCAATGACCCGGGAAAAACTCAAAGGCGGTAATCGAAGTGCAATTAAAAAAAAAAGAAAATATTATTTTTTGTTACAGTAGGATGTTGAATGTCTTCTCGAATAAATAACGAATTTAGAATAACACCGACGGCGGAAGACTCGTATTTTTCCGTGTCATTGCGTTGTTCGTATTCTATCCGATTGTCACTGTAAAGTCATGAGTTCAATAACGAACAAGAAAAAGTCTATAAATTCCACTTACAGCCACAAGTGTTAACATAGAACTTGTACCCTCCCATTGAAATTGCCAATATCAAAAGAAGGCCTAATAATATTTTTTGGTAGACACATACACACGCAGCCATTTTATCTCATGGTGGCGTAATTCTTTAATCATACGCATCTTTTTATTTCGCGTTTGATTTATTTAATTATCTTGCTATGAATTAATTCTTGAACTTATTAAAATTCCTCGCTCTTTCTCTGAAGCACGTCGGACTAACTACACATATGGTTTTTGCGTATCATTACTGAGACAAGAATATTATACTCGTGGTTTAAATATAATGGTGAAGTTCCGGAGTACTATCAATGTCACGTGTTTGTATTTGGCGCAGAGTATATAAGAAACGTCGACACGAAAGAGATTCCGCGTGCAACCACAAAGTACACTATTGTAATGTTATTGTACAGTAATTACTTGTATACAGATGTGCGTATATATAATATACATTGATCCTTTGAAGCAATGTCAGAATTAAATGCGTCGATATAACAAGAGTATCCGCAACGGGATTACAAATATTAAATGAATTATTAAAATCATCGCGCTATATTATATTATAAGAAATATATCCGCAGATTGTTTAGCAACGTATTTCACGCTCGATAGACTCGTGAGAGTTTTTCCGTTCTTATTTATAAAATGTGCAAGAATCATTTTTGCACTAGCAGTCGATGCAAAGAGGAAACTATGAGATAAGATTAAATAGGAACCTTTTTACAAGGTGTAGCTTTTCGATCGGGCATATCATATGCTGTGTGCACTCACTACACCGAATATTGTTAATATTTAAATGAGAAGTTAAATGTGAAATATTTAGAGCTTTTGATTTAGTTTTGTATGAATATTCCACCTCTTCTAATAGTGCACTATTTATATTTATTTTTAAAAGAAAGAAAAGATAAGCTGGAAAATTAGGCAAGATCATGGAAGTTAATGAAATCTATGTAATGTATTAGTGTAGAATATAAGTATGTGTAAGCATTCTATGTTATGTGGAATAGATGATCGGAGCGATAAGGGAATCGCACGTTCCACGTCTTCGCAATTGCACTTGTAGTTAATTCCCATCGTAATATTATGAAAATTAATCTTATTAAATACATACTTAAGTGCATCTGGCGACGATTTGGTGGAATATCAACCTCAAGCCTTACAACGAAGGATGATATGACAAATTTATTTAGCGAATTTATCTAATTATAAATATTTTAACATATGATTAAATAGTAGATATATTTTGTTAAATGGTAAATATATTCTTTAAAGGCATATGTTTTCTCTCTGCTTTATATTATGATGGTTTAATTGTGGGAGGTACTAAGACCCAATGAGATAATTGTAGATAAATTGCGCCGAGCTGGTGAATGTCAACTTCTATATTGTCCATAAAATGAAAGAGAGATTTACGCAACAATATATATATATATATATATATATATATTTCTATGTATATATATATATACATAGAAATCGCGATATGCACTTTACTCGACGCATTATATATGCTTCCATCTAAAGCCTTATATGTCACTCTAGATATTATGCTTATCTCATGTAAAGATAACATCGATTAAGTATGTAATTATATACACCGCGGGCTGAGAATCTTTGGATCGTCGCGCTTGCATAGTGTTATGAAGAATATTTGAGAGAAAGCAGAGAGTATATAATATTTCAGTCGAAGAGCGAATCGTGGGTTTGCTGTCGGCGTAGTTTTGATATTTTGAAGGGTTTGGCACACAAGAGAACAATGATGGTCCCGTAATCTGTCAAGAGAAAGAGACAATATAAAGCGGACGATTTAACGACGTGCTACAAACGAAAATACTTCAAATATTTGCACCGGTATATAGAGACAGTAATTCGAAATTGCACCAAAGACAAAGCATATCTTCCCTCTACTTCTTCCTATTGTGCCAAACCCTTTGATTGTACGCGGACAAAGTAACCCCCAATTATAAAATAGAGAGTCCTTGATAAGCAAAACTTTCGCAGCCGCGATAACGAGCGACGGAAACCCATACAGCAAAATCACTATGTACTTCTAACTCCAGATATTGGACGACCAGATATAGTTCTCGTCGATCAACACAAACCATTATATATTGCCCTTGTTCATTTTTATATCGTATATTGATTTTTATAGCTATTTTTATTCCGAAACCGCTAAATCCGACCAAGAAACTATGATTATATTCTGGGGTAAAATTCACCTTGAAATATCGTTAAAATTATTACAATATAATATTGGAGGGTTACTTGGCTAAGGCGGCTTCTGCACGATCGGTATTTATTGACTCGATATATTGCGCTAATAGTATTGATATAGATATAATATTGATATTAATATATATGCATTATATAAACGATCAATATTATTGCGCAATGTGGAGATATTCTACAATAATATTGACCGTGTAAGAGCCGCTTAAGTTCTTCTGCGCTACATCCCGAAAAATGCGTTGTAATATCGCGCCATGCGCGCACGAGAGGCACACATACTGTTTTACTGCAATATAAATGTGTATATAGGGAGTAACATGTTATAGACTATATCTATATACGTATATATGTATATATCTGCGTACACATACATATATATATGTGTATATATACATACGTATGTACGTGCAAAATAAGATTACGTGAAAAGGACATTGCTCTCACGAACAGTCGAAGACGCATTTCCGTTGGGTTTATCGCGAATCGCGAAGTAAATGATATGCCTCTTCTCGTTGAGAATGTTATATGTTTAATATTTCTCACGTATTGCGAATAACGATGCCGAAATTATCCAAAGATGAGCCAGAACTCGTGAATGTGTTCTCCCTGGTGCACGGGGATGCGTATTCGCGTTCTGTGTATTTTTTTCAGTAGCTCTTGAACCTATCGTTTGAGATCCTGCAACATGTTTTTTTGTAATATGTACTCTTTTCTAAAATAGTACTATCGACCATAATCTGATCTGACAATGTGTTGGTATGCACCAGGAAAATTATTAAAATTGATCTTATTTGATTCATTAAAGGCCATATAATTCTAATAGAGAGTATTGTTTAAAATTAATATTACATTCTAAATTATGATTGTTATTGTTTATTTCTAAAAATTTTCCATTATGATTAACACGGTCTTTCTAAAAAATTTAATATATTTAAAAATTACTTGTTGAAAAGTTTAAAAGAATGTTATCTAGTATTAAAATTATTTTGTTTATAATGAAAATAAAGATGGGTCATTGGCCATTAATGAATAAAAATTGATTCTGCAAAGTGAATCAAATTTTAACATTATTTCTTCTTTCAAATTTAGCGCCGCTATTGGAAAAATACGAGACGTATTATGTATTTCTGTTTATTTTAAACAGTTCGTTATATAAGTTAGTAATAATGCGATTAAATATTTTCTCACTATATTTATTTCTGCATGTGTTTTATCGCTGAAGCTTGAGCATGCTGTGTGAATCTCTCGTCTTACTTTTTAATCCAAATTATTATTATTTTACGCTATTAATGTTTCACAAATTCATATTACTCTATTTATCTGTGTTATTCTGCTATTCATATTTTACATTTATATTTTTTTTCTGAAACTAAATGTGATTTGTTCTGTACGGCCTCAGCTTGACGCTACTTCGATAAAACTTTTATATTCGCCTAAGATCAAGAATATTTTTTAATATTTTGATATAATTAGACGATATCTCTTTAATTTTAATTACTTAGTCATTGAACGACCTAGATTATGTTATTATTTATATTATTTATTTATTTTTTTATAATCTCGTACATTTCATAATTTATTATAGTATCTATTATATGCGTTTTCCCGAATGTATTATGTCTGTTCTTCTCTCTCTCTCTCTCTCTCTCTCTCTCTCTCTCTCTCTCTCT